ACTCACATCTAAACTTAATTGGCTTCGTATCACAGTTACAATATTTTTATTATTCATTTTTAAATAATTTTCCTTAAAACAATCGTCATTTTTTACAATATCTAATCACCTGTGTTCCTCCTCTTGGACTCCAGAAATTAAGAAAAACCTTAAAATCTAATTTTGATGAAAGCCCTCCAGGCTAACACTTTCTTGGGCAGTCTGATAAAGAAAATATTCATTCCCGTTTAATCGTAATCTTATTATTGTTTCACTTCCATTTCTCTCACCATTAGCACTTCGTAAAATGTATCATCAGCAGAATTTTTGTGCTATTTGTTCTGAGAGCCTTCCGGATACCACGGAATTTTCTCACCATCCCACTTATTTAGTTAAGAAAACTGGGAACGGGGAGCCTGTGTTCACTCATTATTGTCGGTAATAGATGACCCAATTGACAACGTTTGTTTTCAGAAAGTACTTACTAAAATCTCAGCGAGTTATTTATCTTAGGCTATCATAAGGTTGTGATGGATATTACCAGCGTCTATTACCCCTTCACATTATCCCTCAGAAAATCAACGTTTAATAACTCAAGGAAATTATTAATCGTATAATAAATTACCTTCTCGAATACTTTGCATTCTAGTTGCAAACGGATAACTTGACAAGCTTTACATCTGTGTTTGTTTGCTTTCAATAAAAACATTCTATCAAATATAAAATCAATAACAATTACCGCAATGAATTTGTTTTGATCTTGTGATTAAACTCATTCCTTTTTTCATATAAAAATATACAGATGTTCGATTACGGTATATTTTTACACCAAAAAAGCAAAAAATTATGTCATAGTACGGTAGGCCTACATTCTACTTTAGTGATTCTTCAAAATGATTAATTTATCATGTTGATAAAAGTTAAAATAACTCGAGTTCATATACTTTTCTATGACTTATGCCTTATGAATTTCATTTTAAATTTCAGGCTGAATTTTTTTTTTATAAAAATTTACATAAATGAAATAAATTCAATTGTTACATTAATTAACTATTGACTGTTTGTCAATTCGTAAAGTCATCCTTCCATCAACTTTATTATTTCGCCCTAAACCGTGCACTAATCATACATTAGTGCATGGCTCTACTGATTTACTTACTATATTTACTACCATTATGACTTTGTTTCTAGGTTATTACAATGGTAATGCAATAAATACGAAAATAGTGTTTCCATTCGTTAAGTATTTTATTAAAGGGAAGGATATTCTTTTATATATATATTTTACCACCTAGGCCTACATCCCCACCCCACACATAGGTGGTCATAAGACATACAGAATCGCATATCTATACCTGTGTTATTCGCATGAAGAGCATTAGTACATACAAAAAAGAGTAACTTGACCTTATTTTAGTTTTATTTAGACCCAGTGTCTTCATCACCCATGCTCAAGACAGTACTAGGTCTATAGTTTTGTGAACTTCTCTCATAATTATGTCACGATGCGCCGACGGTTATAGAATGATAAACTGGGGGAAGTTGGGCCTATTGATTTTGACTAAAAATATGCTCTCTCGGGGCTTACTTTCTTTTGCAAATACAACACTAGATGTGTTTCGTGTTATCTATTGTATTATCTTTAGCAAAAGAAAATGTACTGCGAAATCAATTATACTTATCGCGACATAAGTCCTTTAAGAAATGGGCATAGAAGGCATGTACCCATCAATCCAAATGAAAATATTGATCAAGAAAATTAATCCACCTCAATAACAAGAAGAGAACGGGATTTTTTTAACGAGAATGATCACCTTGTTATTACCTAACGATTAAATGGTCTTGTCATTTCCAAAATGTACTATGTTTGTTAATGTGTTACATTACTGAACAAAACATATCAATAACGGCATTTGGGCTATCACCTTAATTTGTTATTGTTTGTGCTTTTGAAAAATGGTATTCCTCTCCTTTTGTAAATACGGACAATGACATAGAGCTTTGTGTGGGAGTACAGCTGTGTTTCAATTGTAGATGAGGTCTGGGGATAAGGTTAAAGTATAGAGTTATTAGAATACACAGTAGGCTTACTAACTAGACAGGCAACACTTTACGAGTTTTGTATACTTTCGCCTACAAATTGTCGTGCGCTCGCGCAAGAGTGTCACCGTACCGTGGTCATGCATCAGACTTTCGAAATATGTTACCATTCCTGTCCTAAACTATCAGCGGTTGCGTGCGTCTTTATTTTTTGAAGTCATTATGCTATTTTTATAATTTTAACTTTAATTCATAAGCGTGACCCTATCAGCTAATAAGTTGACTGAAGGGGCCTTCAAAATACAATACATCACATAGGCCTAAATCAACAATCATAATTTATCAAAACAAATACTGTTAAATAAATACCGTATATCAAACGTTATAAAGTAATTCAATATGCAAAAAGTTGTATTTAGGTCTTTAGATATGTCAACATTACCTATAATTATTAAAAGTACACAAAATGGACCTTTCTGAAATGTCAATAAAAGTTATCAACTGAACAATTTCAACAGGACCAAGAGTACGAGCTTGGCCCACACAAACACAATTTTACTTATGTTTACGCAACAATATGAGAGGACTAAGGAAAACGGTCCATTGAAATATTATAAACGACCACCACCTCCGACCCTAAATTCCACCCGCGTCCGGGGAAAATGGCCGATTTGAAGTGGTCGCTTACTAGAGTACCGTAGCTAACAGGCAGTCAGTGTTAGTAATGACATCGAAGCAGAAACTCCAATACAACCCCGGGCCTATTTACAAGACAGTCTGTCGTCTTTTTATTATGGTTTTGCAATGCTTTAACCCTAAAAAGTTCATAAGCTGACTAACATTCATATTCACGTGAACCTCAACTAGATAAACGGGACTTGATCAGGATCAACGATTGTATGTAGGCCATAGTTCATGACTTGAAAAATCTATCGGGTACAAATCATGAAATATAATGAGCAATTGCAGGTGAAATCCATTAAGCCGGGTTGTACTGTGGCTGCTGGTGGTTAAAATAAAATAGGTTACTTGCCTTCAATTGTAGAGTCATGGACTTACACTAATACAGCTTTTACTCCCTAGCTAAACAAGAACATAACAAACGAGATGTTTATGTGCTACGGTCAGACCTTTTTTCCTCTCCTTTTAGGCCGCCATTCAGGCCTAGTTAGTAACAAATTTAAACAAGTTAGAAGTTATTTCCATGAAAACAATCCTGGTGCGTACTCTTTAGGTGCCCCAACTTGATCAATTCATTTGGTATTTTTACAAGCCCTACTAGGTACTCTGAGAAGACCATGACGAACGCCATGCCACATATTGATTACCGTAAGCCCATCTATCCGGTTGCGATTTCGGTTCCGTTTGCGGTGCGGTGCGTTTAAATCTACTGTTTTAAACGAGAGTGATTCCATTAGTAGTGCGGTTGCGGTTGCGTTGCGTCTCCGTAACAACATGCGCTTATTTTAATCGCTCGGAGCGATTCATTCGTTTTGATTTCAGCTCGCCGTGCAGTGGTGCATCCATGCAAAGAGGCGTTTAAAAACGCACGTGCATGGAATCACTTAAAACGCACTTTAAACGAAAACGCAACCGGAGCCGGAACTGCAGATGGACCAATGGATTCTTAGCTTTATATATTCCATTCAGAAGGCATTGGGCCTAATTCATTCGAAATGATACACAAGCATATTAGACGAAAGAAATGGCCTATTAGATAAACATCATTTATGAATCAATAACACATGGTAAGACATTCATCATCATTGTAATTATCATCATAATAAATGATCTTTATTAGGTTCTGAGTAAAACGACTGTAAGCTGTCTTTGAATGATATTGTGACTTGCCACTATGAAACACATTTAGTGCGCTATTAATTTCGGAAAAGCCATTAATATTAAACTACTGCTTAAGTATACGGTAGACATCCATTAAACGTTTCATTAAAGTAGCAGCTCATCAGCTCACTTTCAGCCAATATTCATCCTCATAGCCATGCAAAGTGTAAACATCCACTGCTATTTTGTCCTGATTGGCTGTAGTTTGTGTAATCACATTAACATCTCGCGGTTATTCGTTCATATCTACTTTATCGTGGCTTAGGCCTATACATCAGCTTGTCAGAGGCCCTTTAATATGTCTCCACACCTGGAGTTTACAGCAGTTTTCCAGTAATTAGCAAAAACGAGAAGTCAGGTCCACATCTTCGTTTCCACACATAACTCCTTAATTAATTTTCTTCAAGGTGTACTATGTACTCTATAAATAAGTAAATATTTAATCGAGAAAATGACACGACGGTTAGAGATGTCAGATTGAAATAAAACGAAATTGAAATAACTTGTAACCACACACAAGTGGCTTAATGGATACAGTATAGCCTATACTCCGATGAATTGACACAAGTTTGCTCTAATTCAAAGGTTTAGAACAACTAAAACTCCGAATACTCCATAACGAGGAAAACATGATTTAAGCCATTTTCAGGCTGACGAGACTGTAAAAAAAAACTGAAAGTAGGCCTGTCACTATATGCTAGGCCGGTATTTATAATGTAATATAGGCCTACTCTGTACACGCTACAAAATTATGAGGATTTCAATTTGCTTTGTTTCGATGTTAGCCCCCCCCCCCTCTGGCCCCAATAATACCATGTAAACGAGTTTGAGGACAGGGGCCTATTTTATTATTGTTTCATTATTTCTAATTGCTGGATCGGTCACCCTCTTGAAATATGGTATTAAATAAATAAATACACTACTGGAAACCTCTTTATCAGAAAATAAAAATATTAAGTTAAGGCTAAACATGAAGAAATTAAATTACTGGATCATTCTTAACAATAGTATCATTGACACATGGCTAGAAGACCGCAAGCGAAGTAGCGCTGGCATGTTTATTAGTCTTTCTAACAATAATAATGTTTTGGAAGTACATACACCCATGAACTAGACAAACACAATGATAGCAGTCTTACCGTGTTGGAAATTATTGAAGAAAAAAATAAATTAGGCAACTGTTCTGGATTAAGAATCGGCTACGAAAGCCAACGTCTCACGTGCAAATTGTTCTCGCAGTGCACTATATACACATTAGTTCCAATAATATGAAAGGCCTACAGATATACAAACGTTCGTCCTCGTTGAACGATGAGCGTATATTGAATCTGATATTCTCTCCGTCAGCTTAACGCTCCGATCTATCGACGCATTATAAACGCTTACGCGTACACTCGCACTGCGCATGCGCTAATAAATGATTGGTCGCATTGGAAAATCAAAATGTGGTTGTAAATTTAATAATGAAGGGGACCAGTCGTCTGCTTTCGTCTTTATGTAGGCTACGTAGTAACATAAAAGGGAAACATAGATAATCCTCATCATTATCTAATTTTGTATTTGAAGTTACATCTCAATGACTGCAAGAAAATAGGCATATCTATAGGCCTATGTACTTTTGAAATGTGTTTCTATGTTGTTTGAGCGATGAGGTTAAACTTCATCGCCTTCCATATTCTAAGGCACTGTTACTAAATTCATCGGCATGATACTAGGCCTATGCGAATAAAATAACCTCTTTAATTATTTAGATTGAAATAGCTCCGTTTGAGCTGTGTTTAATTTTTGTAATGGTTTAGAGAATGTTTGTATTTTTTTTTACAACTGTTTGACTAGTGTCTAACTCACCACTTAAATTTGTGCCGTAGTATTAAAGCAGACGACAAATACATTAAAATGTTAGATTTCATAATCATAGTGCCCAACGTACAAGTGTACTTAAAATAGATTGGAAACATATTACCAATATGGAAACATATTACCAACATAGATTGGAAACATTACCAACAAAGTAAAATCGAAAGAACGAGGAAAAACACGACTTTTTTTTTATCAAAATACCAGCAAATTTAGTGACTCTGGGAAAATACCCAGAACAGCAAGCGCAATAATAAAATGAATACTATAAATACGTAAGTTAAATATTTTTGTAAGTAATAAATTTATAAATATATAATATAACATATGTTATTATATATATATATTATAGGCATATATACATATATATATATATATATATGGGTGTGGGTGGGTGTGTGTGTGTGTGTGTGTGTGTACATATAGATCTTGCATGCAAATTTGTTTACATAAAGTAGAAGTTTTTAACATTTTAATAACAATTTACAACGCGTTTTTGAAAATTTATAAATTTAATATAAGATTAAAGGTCAAATCGGTTACAGAAATAATTCCTAAGACATTCTTGATGACATCAATTATAAGCCACTGGTAAACAAACTTTTACAAATTGATGTTCATACTCCTACACCTGTATATAAATCACATACACATTTTGAAAAAATTATTAAAACTATTATCACTTAATGTAAACCCCTAGTAGACATGATAATAATGATGATAGATTATTACTTAAAAACTCCCTCTGCTACGCCATTGATATATTGATGTGTATTTATAAATAATTTTTTGACTGGATTATGTGCAAGTTTATATATTTTATATTTTCATCCTGTAATTAGTGTTTACACTGTTGGACGATCAATAATAATAAAAAAGCACATATAATTATAAAATCGTCTATTCTTCCGCGACACACCTGTAGTGTTGATATGTATACACATGTCGAGCTAAGCCTTCAAATTCACTGTAAGTCTATTTGAGAATACGGCGTACAACGCAGGAATAGCCCTTGTAGATAATTCCCAGTCATATCTACGAATTGGCATTATTTTAACTTAAGATGTAGGCCTAGATATATGTCGAGGAAGAATCCACAGAGACACTAGTTCTGTCTTAACTTGGCTCGCAGTGATACGCGACGGTACTTACCATCGGCTTAACACTACTTCAGAATATCACCACATACAGTATATGAAAATAATAAACGAATACTGGTCGTGTGACAGTGAGCCTACAATTAACATATATTGTCAACTAATACACATAGATTACACAACAATTAGGATTATTATTATACACTTATCGTCTCAATATTTGTAATCCCGTTCCCAATACCAAATCACGTCATAAAAATATATTGTGCATTATTCATTGTAACGATAACGTACATTTAACAAAATTAAACATCAACTGGAAACACACTCCAGAAAATTGGAATCAAATATACACGGATATGAACTGAACTGGAATAGATATGTTAACTAAGTTAAACAGGTGACGACCTTTTTTCATATACGGTAGGGCGATGAAAAGTTCTTTCCCTCGTTTAACAACATTATTATTTAGGAGTTTTTGCAAGCCTATGTAACGATAACAAATAGGCCTATAGCCGTTAAGTCATCAATTTAGACAACGCTTCCCCTATAGAAGCATATCTGTCACGCGAAGTAGGCGATTCATGTCTTTTTCATGAATGAAGGATCCTATTCAGCTCGTACAGCGTATTGTCAAGAATATTTTAGGCATGAATGACGATAATGATAATGACGTATTCGTATTTGCTATCGTTTTCGTAAGTTTTTTTCCATATGATTTCTCCCTTTCACATCCAACAGCAAGTAACTCACCAATTAGAGGATAAGTGATGCTTGTAGTGGAAGGAGTTGCAAATGCGGAGAAAAAAATCCTTGCTGTGAACGGGTTTCTCATGTCCCTGGGGATTGCAAGATCTGAACCAGTGGCGCCGAGAGGCCGGGGAAACCGGGGCGAATGCCCAGGGGTGACAGGGGCCCGGGATAACTAGGTAAAAAATAATATAATAAAATAAATAAATAAACATTATTAAACGTACACATAGGTAGGGTAAACTCAGTATTATTCATGTGTTTTTCCAACGAGAATTGTAAATACATCTGATCGTTTATCGATGAAAGCTGGTAATTAATCGCTTTTAATTCTTTTTCATTAATATTTTCATAACTTCTCCTACTCTATCAAAAAGTAAGTTCTTTACGTTATTAATCAATAATTATAAAAGGCTTGAACCCTGGACAAGTTAGAAAATGCCAATAGACCTGATAGAGATTTGATGGTTCAAATAAATATTGAATTAATATATTAAACCTGTGACAGATTAAGGGGAGGCCCAGCCCCCACCCCTAAATCTTTCAAAATTTAACAAAAATTGAGAGAAAAAAATTCTACTCAAATTTAAGTCTAAGAGTGCCATTTCTGGCCGTTCAGAGGTGCCATAATCATAAATTTTCTGGATCCGCCATTATAAACTTTGATACCTATGTTATGAATGTTCTCAACACGTTTGAATAAAAGGAAGGATAGCTTTTAATTTCATGTTCCTATATTTTATTTTTCATGACCTGGTGAAATTAGGCACTCTATAATCGATTAAATTAGTCCTCTAATCCGTTAAAATACCGTAGCTTTCGGGGTGGGGGAACACCAGGGACCTTCCCCTCGCCCCAGACCCCCAGCCAATAGGCCTTGGGCAGCGAAGTTGCCCGGGGCCCGCGGCCACTCTCGGCTGCCCTGATCTTGTTTGTTAGTGTTTATTTCTTGTTTATACCAAAAATAGATGGCAGTATGTTTCCATTTTCATAAACGAATCCCCTTTGTCTTATTTCGTTTGATTTATTATTCATTCAATGTTTTACTTACTCCTGAGACCAAAAATTGGGGCGATTTTCTGCTGGCGCATGGATATCCATCTCTCCACCTTTAATACCTCCACTCATAAATTCCCGCTGTGTTTAATTCCAATATATTTTCATTAAAAGCGTTTTAAGTGGGTGTGAAGTTATTTAAGTGTGTTTATATTCCATAACGTTGACATCCAATTACGAAATACATGAGAATATAGAGATTGATTTTCTTACGATATGTCTTAACAGCAAAAAATTTATGGGGGTGAACATCATGATTGGCGTTTTTTGAGTGATTGTTTTAGTTTGAGATAAGTGGTTAATAATTGTCTGCATCTTTTAGAAAATTAGTTCTAACCAAAGTGTGCAATCCATCACACTTGAACTATGCATACTCGAAAAACTGAGTCTCTTTTGGGCGCGGTTGTTTTTTTTTTTTTTTTTTTTTTTTTTTTTGGTTAGAACTTTGACAGTAGAGGAGTAATGACAAAATAACAATACATCTGGTCTGATAATCCACAGCAACCAAATAAATTAATGGATTACGAAAGACCGGCTTTGTTTTACTTATTTTGTAAACGTGTTTTTCCAAAGCCAGATTTGCCGGTGTGACGGTAATTTCGGCCCTTGTGAATTGCCTGTCTTATCACACATCTATAGTGAATTAGTTTGCCAGAAAGGGAATTTATCCACCAGGGACCGAGTTACGCCCTGTCCCGTTTAGGAAATTCGGCTTGGAAAGCGTCGATTCCGCTCATACAGAAGGGAACCCAATTTCCTTGGGAGGGGAAATCCCTGTGACACTGGTATTATTTTTCAGAATAAAAGGCTCCCTACCAGAATTATAAAACATTTAGACTTTAGGCCAATATGAGACAGGCCTGATATGAGATCAGAAAAATAAACTGCCTGCTTGATTTCAACCACACATTACTGTAGTTAAGACAGGTGGAGTTTTTCTTAACAATAATTAGGCCTATGCTGAGTTAAATGTTGATATTAAATTGGAAATGTTCATAATTCTAAGCCTATATTATAACCAGTTCAATATATGTTGATGCCAATGAGTAGAACTCAGTGATTAATTAATTTTCTGACACTGAGGTTTACCCCTTCTGCTAATCACATGTTTATGCCCCTCCTGATGTGTAAATAATAATGAAAAAGAATTTCTTATAAAGTCGATTATAACTGTGTTTTAGTGAGAGACAATTTGGAGACAGCGCCTCGTCCAATTGGATACAAGCAGTTAGTAAGGGTAGAAATGATCTTATACTGGCTTTGCATGCTATTATTATCCTGCGGTCCTTATCTGGGTCTTAAGAGGGCCTATGTCCATCCCATAGGCCATACAGTAAATACAAAAAAGCATAATCCGTATAGTGATTTTCTAATTAAAGAATGTCCAATCGTTTATAAACATAATTTGACAGATAAGTTGAGAAGATGAGAAAATTAAGCTAACAAAGTGTCGTCATGTAAACAATAATTATAACGAACGGGTAAGTGTAGTACTCCCTATATTAGTGCCACATCATCGTGGTGACACATTTCTTTTATTTACAACACTGTTTGAGTTTAATGACCGAGTGGT